CTTTAATATATTTATAAATACATATGCAAAGGACATGATAAAATTGCATTTCACATACATGACAATGACGCAAATGTTGAAGTAGATGAAATAAAAGAATATCAGTGCTCGATGGCACCCTGGCTCAGTTGGCTATCATCTTCAGTTACATTTTGAAGGACAATAATTTGTTTCTTTTAAGAGTGCATCGAGTATAAACTCAATTATGAATAATCCGATGATTAGAAAAACAATGTTGGTGAAAGATATTATCTGAGATTATTATTAATGAATATAATAGGACCAAAATCATATGAAGATCTACTAACTGTAAATGAAGTACGTTGCGATACATTCAGAGAATCAGCTCAAAGGTAGAAGCTGAGAGTATCAAAGCCATGGTGACGTTGTTTGCTATTGTTAGTATATTGTGATCCTGCTAATCCAAGAGAATTATGGGAGAAATTTGAGGACTCTATGTCTGAAGACTTCAAAATTTTACCAGACATCGGAACAAAAAATGTTCGATATAAAGTTTTAGACTGTCTCAATGACATCTTACATTCGATGGGACATAACATTAATGAGTATAAACTTATCCCTGAAAATTTCAAGGCTTCAAAGGCTGCCAAAGAAGCAAGAGAAATATTCTTCGAAAGAAACATAATCGTTACTGAAGAAGAGCTATTACTGCGACAAAAGTTGAATCGTGAACAACAGATGGCATACAATGTAATTATAGACAGAATATCTTCAAACAAAGCAGGAGCTTTTTTTGTTGACGGTCCTGGAGGAACAGGTAAAACTTTTTTATATCGTGCCTTATTAGCTACTGTGCGATCTAAAGGATTTATTGCTCTAGCAACAGCAACCTCTGGAATTGCGACTTCGATTCTTCCAGGTGGCCGTACAGCTCATTCCCGTTTTAAAATTCCCATTGACATTGATGAAAACTTTAGTTGCAATATTAGCAAAAAAAAGTTCACTTGCCTGTTTGATTCGAGATGCAAAATTAATTGTATGGGATGAAGTATCGATGGCAAAAAAGAAAATGATTGAGACTTTTGATCTACTTTTGAAAGATCTCTTGAATACTAATGTGCTTTTTGGTGGTAAAGTTGTTGTCTTTGGTGGTTGTCACACCTCCTCTTTCTACACCTGTGAGGGTGTAAAGGAGTTTTTCCAATTAAAGGACAGTCGGAACGGGATTTATTATTAATATTCAGAGTCGCCACTTAGGAGTTAATGGTGTCCTAAGTCACCGGTTGAATCCCGATCCGAGGAAATTATGACTCTATTAACGGTCCGCGAACCAGAACTCCGAGTAAGGAATTCTGTTAACCCGGGAGAAGGTATTAGGCACTCCCGGATTCCGTGGTTCTAGCACGGTCGCTCAACTGTTGTATTCGCTTTTATCTGATCTTAAAATATATTCTAACCTATGTGCCTTTTGTTTTAACCGCTTTTACTTTATGTCTTTTAATAAGAATTGCAACGTCGTGAAAATGTATCTCGAACCACGTTACACCAGTGCACCCGTGGCTTTTGACGCATTTCGACTCCGTTGAGATTTAGATTTGGGTCACATAAATGTGCACCCGTATTTAAGAAGGTAAGATTATTAAGAACGCGCCTAAAGGGACTATCGTGTCATTATCTTTGGGGAAGGCCGTGAAATTCGCTAAACGGCCCATCCCGAAGTCTAAGTTTTTCTGTATGTACATTTATCGAGGGCCCCGTAATTTGTTTGCTCTATTTGGCGAGGCTCATCTCATTGTAATTTGTAAAAGGATATCCTAGGATTTTTTTTTTTGTTTTTCTCTCTTTTTTTTTATTTGTCTTCTACAAATCAAAAAAAAGGGTCCTAACCAATTAGTAGTTTCAATATCCTATTATGTCCGGAATTGACTTTGAGTTTGGTACTTGATACAGGCAGCCTCATTGCTTGAACGGACTTCCCCAGCGTGGCCTGGTCATGGGTGACTCGGACCTTCTTGTACACCAGATTCAGGGGGAGTGGGAAACACGAGATTTGAAGCTCATACCATACCGGCAGTGTTTGCATGAACTTCGTCAGCGGTTTCAATCAATAGATTTCAAACACATTCCAAGGATGCACAATGAGGTTGCCGACGCTTTGGCCACTTTGGCATCTATGTTGCATCATCCGGACAAGGCTTACGTGGATCCGTTATAGATTCAGGTTCGAGATCAGCATGCCTATTGTAATATGGTGGAGGAAGAGTTTGATGATGAGCCATGGTTCCATGATATAAAAGAATACCTCCGGATGGGAGTATACCCAACACAAGCTACAGGGGATCAAAAGAGAGCAATTCGACGCTTGGCAAGTGGATTTTTCTTCAGTGGAGGAGTGTTGTACAAGAGAACTCCAGATCTTGGGTTATTGAGATGCATAGATACCAAACAAGCTACAGTTATCATGGCTGAGGTACATGCGGGAGTTTGTGGACCTCATATGAGTGGATATATATTGGCAAAAAAGATCCTTCGAGCAGGTTACTATTGGCTTACTATGGAACGGGATTGCATCAGCTTCGTGCGCAAATGTCATCAATGTCAGATACACGGAGATTTGATTCATTCTCCACCATCTGAATTGCATACAATGTCAGCACCATGGCCGTTCGTTGCCTGGGGAATGGATGTTATTGGTCCGATTGAGCCTGCAGCCTCAAATGGGCATAGATTCATTTTGGTAGCCATTGATTATTTCACCAAATGGGTAGAGGCCAAAAACCTTCAAATCCGTGACTAAGAAGGCAGTTGTCGATTTCGTACATTCAAATATCATATGCCGGTTCGGGATCCCGAAGGTAATCATCACAGATAATGGTGCCAATCTCAATAGTCATTTGATGGCCGAGACATGTCAGCAGTTTAAGATCCTGCACCGCAACTCCACTCCATATCGTCCTAAGGCAAACGGGGCAGTCGAGGCAGCTAACAAGAATATCAAGAAAATACTTCGGAAAATGGTAGAAGGGTCAAGGCAATGGCATGAAGAGTTACCTTTTGCTTTGTTAGGCTATCGCACTACTGTCTGCACTTCAGTAGGAGCGACTCCCTACTCATTGGTATATGGAACCGAAGCAGTAATACCCGCAGAGGTTGAAATCCCATCCCTCCGAATCATCGCAGAGGCAGAGATTGATGATGATGAATGGGTTAAAGCCCGCTTGGAACAACTAAGTTTGATTGATGAGAAGCGACTGGCAGCAGTGTGTCACGGTCAATTGTATCAACGAAGAATGGCAAGAGCATATAACAAGAAAGTGCGTCCGCGGAAGTTCGAAGTAGGACAGTTGGTGCTCAGACGTATCCTACCTCATTGGGCTGAGGCAAAAGGAAAGTTCGCCCCAAACTGGCATAGGCCATTTGTTGTAACCAGAGTTTTGTCCAATGGCGCTCTATACCTAACAGACGTGGAAGGAAAATGTGTAGAAATGGCTATCAATTCTGATGCAGTCAAGAGATATTATGTATGATTTTCTTTATCTTTGTGTACCTGATTGTATTTGGCATGTTTTGAGATTGAAATGATGAAGGCATTTTGTTCTGCTACCCAAACACTTTACCCTTTGTTATCCCTTTGAGCCTTATTATATTTCCTTTCGTATCCCTCTTTCGAAATCAATAACAGAACTCGAAAGCCCGAGCGGAAAATCAGCGGAGAAACAAGAGAAAAACAGTCCAAAAGAAAAGAAAAGAAAAAGAAAAGAAAAAAGAAAGGGAAAGAAAAGAAAAAAAAAGAGAAAAGAAAAAGAAAGAAAAAGAAGAAAAAGGAAAGAGCAAAGAGAGAAGAAAAGAAAAGAAAAAGAAGAAAAAATGAAAAGAAAGAAAAGGAAAAGTGGAAGAAAGATAGATCGCCACAGTAAAGTAGTTCTCTGGCCTGAACTACGTTTGACTTGATCCCGAAAGGGTACGTAGGCAGCCTCACTGAGGTTCAGTCACAACAACAGAAAAATCCAAAAACTCCCCAAGCAGAGGTTATGGTTGTCGCAAAGGCTATGATTCTGAAAGCTGTAATGTTGAACCCACATTTGAATTATTTTGAACCTTCATACCTTTCTTTCTAAAAACCCGTCCAAAAGCCATATTACGGTCCAAAGAAAGACCTTCTGATCAATTTCAAGAAATGTCAATGCGGTTAGGTAAAGCGACTCATGTTGGAGACAACACTCTGGTGACAGAAGGAAAAGGACAAAATGAGAGAGTCTTATCGGTGAAAACCCTCACGGGCACCATAGGGCGATGTGAGTTGAGGGAAATGAAAATGAGAGAGTCTTATTGGTGAAAACCCTCACGGACACCGTATGGCGAGGTGAGTTTGAGAGATATTAAAATGAGAGAGTCTTATTGGTGAAACCCTCACGGGCACTGTAAGGCGAAAGTGAGATCTTTCAGTTGGGCAAATGAAAGAAGCCTGTGGTTGAAGGTTGTTTGAAACATGGCAAAACAAGCAAGGTTTGAGTTTGCTGAGAGTCGGGCGTGAAAGTATGAGATAACAAATGTGGTAACTGATAATTGAGTGGTTGGACAGACTAGGCTGGAACCAAAATGCATGGCATGATCAACGGAATCAGCCTTTCCACTCAGATAAGTCCTATCCTTTTCTCTTCATTACAACTCATTCGTTTTTCTACCTTCGAGGTCATTGCATTTCATTCTCTCGAAGTCTGTCTACAAGATGCTTTAGTGTCAGTTCTATTCAAAAGCAAAAAAGGATGTCAAAGCTAATTACCGGCCTCCCAGTTAGATGGCACAACAAGGTGGGAACATAAAACATAGAGGACCGATGGAAAGCAGAGTAATAATCAGATGGTTGTGAGGGAGAAGCAAGGTTCACAAGAAGGGAACAGAAACACCAAACAGTGGTATGAGGTAAAACATGTGGGTCATCAAGATCAGAGGGTTGAAAGTCAATTGGGGAATCGTGACAAGTCAAAGCAAGTCCGAAGAAGCAAGTCAGAGCAAAGTCGGAAGCGGGAGCATGGCCAACAAGAATGCCAGTAGCTAACCACCATTTTACATTAACAAATTTTCTTTGATTGGAACAGGGGCAGAAAATTTTCTTTATTTTTGTCGCAATCAGGCGCCCACCTGGAGAACAAGGGAATACATTTCAAGTTTCAGCAATCAGGCGCCCACCTGGAGAACAAGGGAATACATTTCAAGTTTCAGCAATCAGGCGCCCGCCTGGAGAACAAGGGAATACATTTCAAATTTCAGCAATTAGTCGCCCACTTGGAAAACAAGGGAATACATTTCCAGTGTCAGCAATCAGGCGCCCACCTGGAGAACAAGGGAATACATTTCAAGTTCAGCAATCAGGCGCCCACCTGGAGAACAAGGGAAGTACAATCCAAATTTTAGCTTTCAAATTTTAAATATTTGGTAACATAACGCGCCCAGCTACCAAACTGGGGCAGAAATTTTCTTTGTTTGTCTATTTTGTTGAAATCAGGCGCCCACCTGGAGAACAAGGGAATACATTTCAAGTTCAGCAATCAGGCGCCCACCTGGAGAACAAGGGACATTTCAAGTTTATTCGAATCAGGCGCCCTGGAGAACAAGGGAATACATTTCAAGTTCAGCAATCAGGCGCCCACCTGGAAAACAAGGGAATACATTTCAATTTAATGCAATCAGGCGCCCACCTGGAGAACAAGGGAATACATTTCAAGTTCAGCAATCAGGCACCCACCTGGAAAACAAGGGAATACATTTCAAGTTTCAGCAATCAGGCGCCCACCTGGAGAACAAGGGAATACATTTTCAAGTTCAGCAATCAGGCGCCCACCTGGAAAACAAGGGAATACATTTCAGTTTCAGTAATCAGGCGCCCTCCTGGAGAACAAGGGAATACATTTCAAGTGACGGCAATCAGGAGCCCACCTGGAGAATAAGGGAATACATTTTAAGTGTTAGCAGTCAGGAGCCCGCCTGGAGAATAGAGGCATATATTTCAGACATTAGCAGTCAAGCATCACTCGGAGAAATGGCAA